CTGAGAGTGTGCTGGGCCAGAAGACGACTGAGGCTGAGTGGAAAGGAATCTGCTGCTTGTCCAGGATGTGGGGCCGAACCAGCAGGTGTCTCAAGGCCTAGTTCTGAAGTCCTGTAACTTGAGTTCAGAGCTTTGAACATGCCACCATGAATGACAGCATCTCGGGGAGGGGATGTTGCTAGCCTAGAAGAGATTCCAAAATCTGAAGATTGCTTTCCACTGTATGTTTACAAATTCTGTAGAAATAAAAGACACAATTTAAGAAATAGAGTCTATTAATTTTATACTCCACCATATTGCTGAAAATATTTGTCAGCTATAGACATTTTCTGGTGGAGTCTTTATGGAGACATAAATATAAATATACATATATATATATAAATATATATGTACACACATATGTATGTATTCATTCATTCATTCCTATCATGGTAACATACTCTTGTATTCCCAGCACTTGGAAGGCAGAGACAGGTAGATCACTGTGAGTTTGAGGCCAGACCTGCTCTATACAGTGAGTTTCAGACAAGCCAAGGCTACACAGAAAGATGCTGATTAAAAAAAAAAAATCACATTGTCTGCAGATAAGGATCCATTGACATCTTCCTTTCCTGACTGTATGTCTTGATCCCCTTCTTATTGCTCTAGCTAAGACTTCAGGTACTATATGGAATAGGGACGGAGAGAAGGGATCTCCTTGTTTTGTTCCTGATTTTTGTGCTTTCAGTTTCTCTCCATTCAAAATGAGATCGCTGTATATTGCCTCTATTATTTTAAGCCATGTCTCTAGTGTCTACAGGACTTTAATCCAAGAGCACACCTGAAAGGCTCTAGAAAAAAAAAAAAGAAGCAAACTCACCCAGGAGGAGTAGATGCCAGAAATAATCAAACTTGGGGCTGAAATGAACAAAATAGAAACAAAGAGAACAATACAAAGAATCAATCAAACAAAGAGTTGATTCTTTGAGAAAATAACCAAGATAGGCAAATCCTTATCTAAACTAACCAAAAGGCAGAGAGAGACTATTCAAATTAACAACATCAGAAATGAAAAGGGGATGTGACAACAGGCTGTCTAAAGACACCCTGACCTGCCAAGCTGCTTGCAAGTGGTTTAGTGAGCATCAGTCTCCCAGCTTCCGCGAGGCGTCACCCATCTGGGTGGGCTGTCAGTGATTAGGCTGCCTGTGGGTGGTTCCTGCTGCTGTAGACAACCTCTCGCTCATAGTCCTGTAAGTGAGCCCTGATAACTTCATTGGTTCTCCTAGCTGGACTTAGGTGCTGTTATTACTTTGGTCCATCATTAGTTGTTTGTTTGTTTGTTTGAGACAGAATTTCTCTGTGTAGTTTTCATGCCTGTCCTGGATCTCACTCTGTAGACCAGGCTGGCCTTGAACTCACAGAGATCCGCTTGGCTCTGCCTCCCGAGTGCTGGGATTAAGGCGTGCGCCACCACTGCCCAGCCTGTCATTAGTTTTTTTGTTTGGAATGAATAAACATTTGTGTCCCATCTTCCTAGGAAAAATGCCACATACCAAGGAAAGAAATAAATAGTATAATATTAACTGGGACCAAACATGAACTTGCACATGCAAACCTGTGTGTGTATGTGTGTGTGTGTGTGTGTATGTGTGTGTGTGCATGTATATGGGTATGTGTGTATGGATGTGTGTGGGTATGTAGATATGGGTGTGTGTGTAGGGATGTGTTTATGTGTACATGTATGTGTGTGTGTGTATGTGTGTGTGTGTATGGATATGTGTGTGTGTGTGTGTAGGGATGTGTTTATATGTGCATGTGTGTGTGTGTGTGTGTATGTGTGTGTGTATGGATATGTGTGTGTGTGTGTGTGTGTGTAGGGATGCGTTTATATGTGCATGTGTGTGTGTGTGTGTATGGATATGTGTGTGTGTGTATGTGTGTGTGTGTATGGATATGTGTGTGTGTGTGTATGGATATGTGTGTGTGTGTGTGTAGGGATGTGTTTATATGTGCATGTATGTGTGTGTGTGTGTGTGTGTGTGTGTTGCCCAGCTTTTCTATGAAAGTTCTAGAGACTCAAACTCAGCTGCTCATTCTTTCACATCAAGCACTCTTATCTATGGAACCAAACCCCTAGCCCATATACAAACCTTTAAAATGGTTCTCTGTGATTATAGATAAGATTGGGAATATTCATAATATTCTGAAGCTCCTGTGTATCACCAGGATAAAGCAGATGACTAATAATGGTCTGGTCTAGTTCTATCATCTTTGTGACATTAGAATCCATAATTGTCAAATGTATCATACATGCAACACACACACACACACACACACACACACACACACACACACACACAAGAGATAGGGGAGAGAGGAAGAGGGAGAGAAAGAAGTATCTAGAGTTTTTGCTTTTCCAGTACTGGGGACTGAATCCAGGTTTTTGCACATGGCTGGCAAGTGTTCTTGAACTTGTGAGCTGTGTTACATGTGTTCACATCTACCCTGGCCTAGAAATAACAACCATCCCAGGAACAAGCATCAATTCTCCTTAGCCTTTAGTTTGTTTTCTTGAGATACCTGTACTCATTAGTAGAAACCCAGGCTTCTTGAAAATATAGCTTATCTTCCATCTGAGGCAAGATACCAGGGCCAGAAAAACCTGGAATGTTCAGCCACACCCCATACAGAGGCTTCAAAGGATTCTGGTGCCAACATGAAGTGGCTCCCTCCTGGCCAAAGATGAAATAGTTTGAATGTTAGAACAGGAATGTGATGGACTGAAACTTATAAACTATCCTTAAACCCGTGATTCAATAATGACAAAAGAATCTACATAATGGGGTGACCTTTGGAGGATGATAGAAACAAATTAATTGTCTTGGAATTTGGTAAATAAAGAGAAAGGATCAAACAGTAACCTCCATCCCCTGTGTGGATGAATTCTACCGCCAGCAACTTCGTTTGCTCAGGATGCCATTACAGAATACCACAGGCTGGATGGCTTAACCAAGAGAAACACATTCCTTACGGTTTAGGATCCTGGAAATACAAGATGCTGGTGTTCAGAATTAGGTCTCTGTGAAATCTCTTCCTGGCTTGAAGATGGCCACCTTCTCCCTGTGTTCTCACATGCCCTCTGTGTGGGTGTGGAGAGAGAGAGAGAGACAAACTTTCTGGTGTCACCTTCATTTTGTAAGGAATCCAGCGTTACTGGATTAGGGCCCCACCCTTGGAGCCTCATTTCACCTTACTTGTCTCCATGTTGCCCAAAACAACCACTCACAACCTAGTCTGTAGAGCTAGGACTCCAACAGAGGAATAGAAAAGAGGGGGACTCAATTCAGTCCACGACAGTAACAGCCTCAGTCATTTTCTCACAGTTGTGACGAATGCCTGACAAAAACAGACCACGGGAAGAATTCTTTAAACTCAGGGTTTCAGAGAATTCAGTCCACTGCCCTTGGTTCTGTTGATCTGGACCCATGGTGAGGCAGCATCAGGTGGAGGAGGAGGAGGTGGTCCACCTGTTTTTCTGGATCCATGGTGAGGCAGCATCAGGTGGAGGAGGAGGTGGTCCACCTGTCGATCTGGGTCCATGGTGAGGCAGCATCAGGTGGAGGAGGAGGCGGTCCACCTGTCGATCTGGACCCAAGGTGAGGCAGCATCAGGTGGAGGAGGAGGAGGAGGTGGTCCACCTGTCGATCTGGACCCAAGGTGAGACAGCATCAGGTGGAGGAGGAGGTGGTCCACCTGTTTTTCTGGATCCATGGTGAAGCAGCATCAGGTGGAGGAGGAGGAGGTCCACCTGTCGATCTGGATCCATGGTGAGACAGCATCAGGTGGAGGAGGAGGAGGTCCACCTGTCGATCTGGATCCATGGTGAGGCAGCATCAGGTGAAGGAGGTGGTCCACCTGTCGATCTGGACCCATGGTGAGGCAGCATCAGGTGGAGGAGGAGGTCCACCTGTCGATCTGGACCCATGGTGAGGCAGCATCAGGTGGAGGAGGAGGTG